CTTCTTTCAATAGACAAGGATAACAATGGCCGCATTCACAAGCTAACTCTTTCTCAGAAGGCATCGCTAGACTGATTCGATGTGAGTACTACACACTGAATTTATATACTTTTAGAATTTATGACAGCTTGTCAATCACTTTTTTGATTGACACTTTTTTACGAGTATAACCTTCTACTAGCATTGGTTGAGGTCACATTAGAAACTTAACTGTGGTAAAGGGCTTTTACTATGGTAAAAGTAAGTAAACAAAAGTTGACCATAGTAAATTGTGCTTGTTGACTTAAACATTTCCCAGATGGATTTTTGTCCAAAGAGTGTCAATCAAATTGCAATTTGATAAGAAAGACAAACAAGTTCAGACATTCCATGTTTTACTTGCGTTACGTTCGTCTGGGAAAAGAAATGTTCTGTTTCCCCCTTGCGCCATGGATTCTGAACGCTCGCTCTTTATGATAGTTGCTATTCTTCTTGTTATAATTGCTATCCGGAAAGCTCAAAGGTTCAGGTTTATTGCCCTGAACATGTATTTTCTTCGTAAGAGAAGGCAGCATGACTTAATCTCTGCTCTTCTCGCCAGAAGAATTAGGAGGATAAGACATACTTGTGTGCGGCGAGGAAGAGCGGCGTGGGTATATCCCAGACCACAGGGTTGGTTTGAAGAGATGTACCAGAATCCAGTCTTCTCTACCTTGTGGAAAAATGACTTTCGCGTCACAAAGGAGACATTTGATTACATTTGCCAGCTGGTTGGACCAGACCTTTCAAGGCAAAACACTCGCTTCCGAAAGGCTGTTGCTTTGAACAAGCGCGTGGCAATTGCGTTATGGAGAATGGGAACCGGCAATTCATATAGAACGACGGGAATAACATTCGGACAAGGAAAATCTACTGTAATAAAGATATGTGAAAACTTTATGGAAGCCTTAATACGCCACAAGGACGATTTTATACAGTTCCCAGATGATCCGCTTGATGTTACACTGGCTATGAGGAGGAGTGAAAGTTTAGCTGGATTTCCAAATGTTGTTGGAGCGATAGATGGATCTCATATCGCCATAAAAGCACCCCATGTTAATCATGAAGATTATTTTAACAGAAAGCAAAACTATTCAATTAATTTGCAAGGAGTAGTCGATGCAACTGGTAAATTTATAGATGTCAGCACAGGATGGCCCGGTAGTATTCACGATGCCAGAGTATTGAGACTTAGTACACTGTACCAAAGAGCCGAGCACAACCTTATTTTGACTGAGCCAGTTAAACGCATTAATGGAGTAACTGTGCGCCCCCTTCTGATCGGTGATTCTGCTTACCCCTTACTACCCTGGCTGGTTAGTCCTTATCCCCATTCCCGTAACCTTAATCGAAATCAGGCCAAGTTTAATAAGATTTTGAGCAAGAGTAGGGTAATAGTAGAAAGGGCCTTTGGAAAGCTGAAGTGTCGTTGGAGGTGCCTACTAAAGCCACTTGAAGAAAAGACACCAAAAGTTCCACATACTATCCTGACCTGTTGTATTTTGCACAACATTTGCGTTTTAAGGGCCGACGAGTTCGAAGATGACCATAGTTCCGATGATGAAGATGATGAAGATGGGGATGATGACGGCGATCAAATTGCATTCGGGCAGGGACGAATTGTAAGGCAAGCTCTAACTGCATTTCTCGCTGAATGAACTCATTTTTTTTATATAGACTGTCCTTTTATTAAACGGACAAATCTGAAATTATTGATGAGTTCTTGCTTAACTCCATTCATAACATTTATACTCATGAAAAAGTGCTGTCACGATTATGGTCAAACTGTGGATTATTACTTTCCATTCCTGCCTATATATTTAGTCTGAAAAAAAAAATTAATTGGGAAACTCCATTCGCAAATTGTTCAAAAGCTCTGGAACAAAACTGTAACTGCAACTGTAACGGTAAAAAACAACAACAATAAAACGAAAAAGAAGAACCTTGTAAACAAGAGGAAAAAGAAAGGTCTAACTTTCATTTTTTGAGGATTACGCCTAATTCCCGTATCGCACCAAGCACAAGCTCTTGGGTACGGTTGTCAGACTCCCTAAGATATTGGAAAAGTTCCTTCTTTTCCTCTTCTGCTCTCTTTGCAGCCTCTGTTTGTGCCTTGATTAGCTCCTTCAGCATGTCCTCTTCCTTGTTTTGATCCTTAGCACGTTCGTCGTCCTTTTTACTCTGCTTGGTTTTTTTCTTCTTTGAGCCTGGCTTTTTCTTGTCTTTGAAAAATAGCCGTTTTGCTTGTTCTAGTTCGTCATCGTCTGTTAAGGCATCGTCATCGTCATCTTCAGGTCGAGCGCGTTTTCCCGGCTGCACAACTAGTTCTTTCCCTTTTCCCCGTCGAGCTCCGCTTCTAAC